CAATTACTTCACCTTTTTCCTGTAGCCATTTTATGATGTCTGCTTTTTTTGTTGTTGTGCTTGGAATTTTTTCTTTTTTCACAGAGTGATATGGGGCRTTGTCCATTATGATAACACAATTCTCTTTGAGTCGTGGTATTACGTCTTTCATCCAGTCGTAAAATGTGTCACCATTCATTTCTTCATGGTAGTCCGTCGTTTTTTTTGACTCAAAACACAGAAGACTACCTGGCACAAACCCATCTTCAGACCCAATGTGAAGAACAATGAGCCTCTTACCTTTGCCGGATGGATTCTGAGACCMCGTCGTGAGACTTCGTAAGAATGCATCACGAGGCGATTTAATTGTTTTTTCTACCCACGTTTTGCCRGTACAGTCGCCGGCGTTGACCCATGTTTCATCGAGATAGTACAAATGCCGGCCTTCTTCACGATATTTACGAATATTTTCTAAATATCGTCTACGCCACAATACAATTTCATCTTTTTCTATAAGAGCACTATTGCGACTGCGTTTCGTGTAAACRAWRTCCATCGATTTCAACAGACGATGCAAATTCATTCTGGAAATATCTGGCAAAGTTTCGTCRTCTTTAATAACTTGCAGTATTTTGTCCAATGTTGGTATTGTTTTGTTAAACCAGAATGAATGAACATGWACACGTACTGCATTCATTTGTAAATCATCAAACTTATCTTTAAATGATGTCTTTATGCGTATTTTGCACGGTGAGGTGACGGTTTTTTTGGTGTTRTATTCGCTGATGACATTTGAAACTGTTCGTTGTCCGATGCCAAGTTGTTTCGATATATAAATCCGAGCTTCTCGAACAGTTATATTGGGATTTTTTCTTAATTCCATCTTATATGAATTTACTATCATAATACGTTGACCTGATGAAATAGGCTGGAATAACATACAAAAAAAACTATGTTAAGTAATGTATAATATACAGACAAAATTATAATAGGTATAAAATAATATGTATATATTTTTTTTACTTACCTTTCCCATAGGATTTTTTGTCGAAGGTGAAAAATTTGCCATAGTGTCACGTGAAAATCAAACGAAAACAGCGAATACGATCAAAAACAAAAAGACGTGTAACCGCTTATTAGTACCGTTAAAAGTTAAAATGGTGTGACATTGTCCACACTATAGCACGCACAGACCGAGCATGTGTGCTCATGTTGTGCGTCGTATGTGCTCAGTATGGACGTTTTCACATACAACAATTTGTATGGTCATGGAGATTATCAAGATTCACGACGCACAACGAACGCTCGTGTGTGCTCGACATACCGTCCACACTGTACAACGCACAACATGAGCATTGAGCAGTTGAGCACACATGCTCGGTCTGTGYGTGCTCTAGTGTGGAGGTGTCATGCGCGAGATTCGACCGGTTTTCGTGCGCCGCCCGGTGCGCTCTTATTTGGTACAGACTATAGATTTTACCATACGGTAATAGTGTATTACAGTGACCACTGACCAGTGTCCACACAAATATAAAACTTAAAACACATCGTTGTCAAATAAATGCATYCATTGCTTTACTAGGGGTCTAATATAAATTAAAAATTAGAAAATGTATCTGGCTACCTATTTTTTTTCTTTCCAGTTTGAATCGACGACGCCGCTGGAACTGCTTTCGCAATACTTCCGCGACGCCGATCTACCTGGCTACCTATACATATAAAATATTATACACATTGCCAACTCTAAAGACTATTAAAGATAAACGATAAAGTTTTATTTAAATTGCATCAAAGGCCGGAAGTAGAATTTAACTGCCAAGCGCTAGATAGCTTACTACTTACTTCCTATATACAAAGCAAACTGCATAGGCTTTACTGCTCTAGGGCTATTAAGAAAATTCCGACAATACCTGTTCGGTCTATCATTATTTTACACATAACCGGTCGTCCTATAATTCTCCATTCCACCACAGGTTAAGCTTAAGCACGTCATGCGGATTTATTTACTAATTCGTGGCTCAATGGAGTAAGTAATTTTGTTGCATTACAAAAATTRTAGKTATATATAATAGTTTAAAAATTAAATTACGATCAAAATAATATTGTAATCGGGATTTTCGTTGTCTGGACGGGACCCGAAACTGAGTTCGGCCAGTTCCGGACGTATTAATTTATTATTAATATAAATAGTTGTTACCATAATAATTATGATTGTTGTGAAAAACATGCAGTGCAGCACTGCAGCTGTATTGTACATAGAAAAAATGAAACTGACGTCGATCAGCTGTGGCCCGTGAGTTTGTCGGTGGCTCGGTGCCCGTGTTTGTGTTCATCATATCAAAATTTATGATGCGTTGATGCATACGAAGTGTGTTTTTGCTATCAGCTGCTGCCTGCTGCTGTTTTGGTTGCAACTTGCCAGCCTATTTTGACTTTTATTCTCATTGTTTTCTATACGGTTGCTACTTGCTATTGTTGTGGTTCTACTCGTCGTCATAATTCATTATTGTTATTAATATCGTAATTATTGTTCCGTGTTAGTGTATAACTCGATTTCTATAACGATGTGGTCGAATTATTTTTAAACATATTATTTTTTTTTCAGTTATAAGGATTAAATTGCAATGTCTGATTTGAAATCATTGGAACACCCGACCTTAAAGGTATATTTCGTAACGATATGATTAGTATAATATGTAGTATTAAAACGTGAGTTGAGTAATAAGTTTGAAATGATCATTTAGGTACAATGAAATCACTCCGGTGTGGTGTGAATTATAAATTAAATCAATACCTCGTAGTGCAGTAGAAAAAATAATTACAAATATGATATTGTTTATTTTTAGGTTCCATATGAAGTTCTCAATAAAAAATTTAGAACAACACAAAAAACACTCGACAGAGAAGTTTCACATTTTCAAAACGCTGTACAAGAGTTTGAACGTGATATATCCTCCGATGTTGCAATGACTGACACTTCTCATATTTCTTCGTTACTTAGTGGCATGGTTGAAAAATTGAAAGTGCTCAAAAGAAAGGTTTGATTATTTTGAATAATGTGTTTTGTTATAGTTAAATTTTTAATAATATACTTTTATTAGGCTGATGAAGGTATAAATGATGAACTGCAAGCTGGTTTAGTGTGCAAAAAACGTTTGGAACACTTAAAAGAACATAACTCACCTTGTGAAGCTATTGTAAAAAATTGGCGTCGCCGTCGATTGGACCGCATGTTAGTGGAATACTTTTTACGCTGTGGATATTATAATTCTGCCAATAAACTTGCCAATAATTCAGATCTAAATGATCTCACTAATATAGGTATAAATATTTAATTAAAATTATAGAAATAATATCTAATTTCTTTCATTGAATATTTTGTAGATTTATTCATGATATCAAAAGAAGTTGAACATTCATTAGCAAATCATGAAACATCAAAATGTTTAGCATGGTGTCATGACAATAGATCTAAATTRCGTAAATTACGTTCAACTATGGAATTCAATTTACGAATACAAGAATTTATTGAACTTGTACGTCAAGACAAACGTCTTGATGCTGTTCGGTTAGTTTTAATGTTTACAGATTTCCTTAATAATTTCTCATTTAAAGGTTTTTAACTAAACAATTACAATTATATTGTTGTTATTGGTGTTTGATAATTATTTCACAATATTTTTTTTCATAACTTAGAGTCAAATATTGATAACGTTAAATTTTGTTTTTTACTCAATTTTTATTTTATTAACTTTTTTTTTATAATTTCAAGGAATTTAAGGAATATTTTCTTATAACTTWATATTTTGAGAACGGCCCATGTTTTACAATTCCTCAATAAAATCTGCTTGTACATAATTAAAATGTAAATAATAATTAGCTTAAATTACTTAAATTTTAAAGAATTATGATTATTTATTTTTAAACTTAATTTAGGATTTTAGACATACATTTCTGTCTAAGCTTCATTGGAGTAATTTCTACAAAAACAACAAAGGGCGTGTTAAAGCTATGTATTTCATCATTTTAGTTTTTTTTTTTAAGGAAAAATTTTTGATACATAAACAAACATTATTTTGAGAAACTGATTTCAAAATGGGGGGTACTAATAATCCCTGAACCTTTCCCTATTTGTGCCTATGCTGAGTCTTGCTATGATGTATAATTAATAATTATTAATCATTTTCATTTTATATGAACTCTTAATCACATTTTAGACATGCCAGAAAGTATATATCAACATTTGAAGATACTCGTATGGATGAAGTACAACAATGCATGGTTTTATTGGCTTTTCCAACTGATACTGGTAAATTTMATTTCATTTTTTTTTAATTTCAGACTTTAGTAAATATTATAATTGTTTGCTCAGTGTTGCCACAGTTTGACTGTTGGAGTATTTAATAGAAATGATACATTTTTCATTTTCTTCTCAACCAATATGTCCATTTGTCCATGAATAAATGTATTTATTACATCTCAATGATTTCATTGATTAAAATTCCATAYTGTATTATTTTCTTATTAAATTCTTGATGCATTTCGTCCCATTTTGTCATCTCTCCATTATTTTTCTTATCTAATTTCTATTAGTCATGTTCATTGTGCATCATGATAATCACAATGTTTACCATAGATTTATTTTACATACAAGCTTTTTATATATTATAACGTCCATATTGAGAACATAAAACGCACAACATGAGCACACATGCTCCGTATGTACGGGCTTAGTGTTTGTGCATCTTTAGAGATGTTAGAAATGTTAACAAATAAAAAATTGTGAAATGTAATCAATTATGAATCAATTATGTATTATAAGTGTTGACTTACAAAATATGATACTATCATATTCTAAATCAAATAATTAAAATTGTTTTTAAACTTATATAAAGTTAATATTATTACATTTTTATTTTTTTTTTGGTAGATAATTTATTTAAATTTTTGTTTTTAGTTGTAATATTTATAATAACTATGGTGGGTTTCAAATCAAATGCAAATTAATCATAGTGTACCATTTTATTTTTCTGCTTTAATCAATGATTTGTAAATTAGACTGGAAATAAGATGCGTGCACAATTGTATAATCATTTTAAATTTTAAATATTATCCTAACCCTGAGATAATTTCTCTTCTCAGCATGCAGCGATCAAGTTGCATTTGATTTAAAAACTTCTATGATTAATATTTTGAAGGCGTTTTAATATTATATGTATAATTTATGAATAAATTACTTAATAACTTTAAATTTTACAGAAATATCGCCCTATAAAGAAATGTTYGATGAGACCCGTTGGCAACGGTTAATTGAACAGTTTCGTCAAGAAAATTACAATCTGTATCAATTATCTTCACAGTCAGTATTTACTGTTGTATTACAAGCTGGATTGTCTGCTCTGAAAACTCCATATCCTTTTTCAAACTTTTTACTACTATTTAAGTTACCCTTTTTATAATACAACTTTGAATTTAATAATCATTGAAGAAATGATTTAATATTTGTTGTAATTTTTAAGTATTATTAATAGTAGCTATGGCTATAGAATCATAATTAAATATTTTTTGTAAATGTCTTGTTTGTCAAATTTTGATAGTTATGATCTTACTGATGATAGGTAACTTTAAAATTGTTTAATTTTAAACATAATATAATCTATCATCATGTGCTATTTTTTAAAGGATTTTCTAGTATGTAACACCTCAATAATCTGCTAAATAACTTATAATTGTAATGAGGTTATCACAACCATATGTATTTTCTCTGTTTTACCATTACAGAATACATACCATATCAATGTTTATTTAAAATACCTCATATTTCAATTTGAAATAATTTAATTTAAAATTGAATTATCAAAAAAGTGTTATGTGGGATCCTACATGATGTTCTTAGTTATACATTTTCTAATACATCAATTCACTTTGAATAATTATTTTATAATATATAATTAATAACAGAAATAAATGATGAAATTATTCTAAGCTTAAAATTTGGTATGTAATTCTTAAGTAAGACAAGGAAAATATATGGGGGTTTGACTTCATACACAATACATTAATATTMTCAGTTCAAATATTTAATTTTAATTTTTTGTTTTGATGTTAATTGAAATAAATTTTCTTAACTTAAACATACTCAGTGTTATAGTGACATAAAAGAAGCTCGGAATATAAGCTGCCCAGTCTGTCAAGAATGGTTTAATACTTTAGCAAAACCATTACCATTTGCACATTGTAGTCAGTCTCGACTGTTTTGTTCAATATCCGGACTTCCATTGAATGAACATAATATACCTATGGTGTTACCAAACGGATATGTTTATGGAGAACAGGTATTTTTAATTTATAGTTTTGTAATAAATAGTATTAATGATACATTTATACACTTTTAGGCTTTGGTGGAGATGTCGAATCAAAATAATGGACAAGTTATTTGTCCCAAGACTAAAGAAGTGTATTGGTTAAAACAAGCAGAAAAAGTTTATGTAATGTAAT